ACAACTGAGGAAAAGAAAGAAGACACCAACTAGAAATAGCAGAAATGAAAAGAGGAATTTAGCTACCTGTTTGTACAACAGGACTTAAAATGACAATAACAGAAAATCATAAACAACTTTGTATCATTAAATGCAGCAACTTAGAGGAAATGGACACATTCCTTGAAAGACATGTTACCAAAGCTCACTCAAGAAAAACTAGATTATTTCAGTAGCCACATATCTATTAAATAAAATTAATTTGTAATTAAAAACCTTCCCCATAGTGAGAATTCCAGGCTCAGAAAGCTTCTCAAGTGAATTTTACCAAATATTTGAGGGAGAAATAATATAATGTCTACACAAATTCTTCCAGAAAATAGTTGAGGAAGGAACACGTCCCAGGTTACATTATGAGGCCAACATTACCATACAACGAAACCAAAGTCATTACAAGAAAGGAAAACGATAGGGTGATATTTCCCATGAACATAGGTGCAAAATTTTTAAATAAAATATTAGCAAATTGACCACCTCAATCTAATAAAAGGCATCTACGAAAAACCTATAGCTAGAATCATACTTCATAGAGAAAAACTGAATGCTTTTCTTCCTAACCAATTTTAATAAACCTGGTATGGCCATTGGTATAGCAATAAAGAAAAAATAAAAGTATACTTGGGGAATTACAGTACCTGACTTCAAGGCTTCCTATAAAGTTATAGTAATTAAGACAGTGTGATATTGGCATAAGGATAGACATATGGATCAACAGAACAACAAAAGCAGTCCAGGAAGAAACTCACTTGGAAAATCACTTGATTTTTAACAAAGGCACCAGTGTGAAAAAAGTACAGCTCTTTCAAGAAATGGTGATGGAATGACTGTCTATTTACATGATCTGAACTGTGACTCTTACTTTATATCATATACAAAATTAACCAAATTGACGTAGGCTTAAATGTAAAACTAACTAAGCTAAAACTGCAACACTTCTATATGAAAACATTAGAGAAAATCTTGGAGACTTAGGTTGGGCAACAATTTCTTAATTAGAACAGAAAAAAAAAACCAGTCATAAAATAAAAACGAACAAAAACTAATTTTGACTTCATCAAAGTTAAGAACACTTGCTCTTTGAAAGACTTAGTTGAGAAAACAAAAAGGCAAGCCACAGACTGGAAGCAAATATTTGTGAAATACATTTCTGATAAAGGACTTTAATCTAAAATTTGTAAATAATACTTACGACCCAGTACATAAGACAAACCAATTTTTTAGATGGGCAAAGGATCTGAATACACAGTTTCCCCGAGAGGGTATGGGAATATGTATATAAAATAATCTACAGTGATAAATACACCTAAATGTGTAATTCGTGTATACATAATGGAAAGAATTAGAAATGATCCCCAAATGATTTTGACTTCAATAGTCACTGGAATATTTTTTTTTTTAAAATAAAGGGGTTTTGTTACATAAATATTTTAAGGAAAGCTTAAATTCATTTAAATCGATAATGAATGATCATTGATTTTGGTGACAAGATACCAAATCTTCAACATTCACCTCGTGGCAACACCCCAACGTGTAAGCTCGAAAGGGGAGAATACAGACGTGGGTATCTCACATGGATATAATTTTAGAGTTTGCAACATTTCAAAGAGGAAGGTACGTTGACTCTTATCGGGCTGATAATTTATAGCTCCAAGTTTATTTCTGTAAGGAGAATAAAGCCTATTCTTTCTTGCTAGAGCAACTCTTGGTTCTGAAGAGATGACAGGCATTGTTCTCTAAAGCACGCAAATGTCTTTTAAAAAAGGAATTTGGCATTTGGATCCCGCTGCTGCTGATGGAGATTCTGTCTCCGGTGAATAAGAATAGTACAACAGAAGATCACCCTGCTGTTTTGCTCTGGTTCGCCTCATCTCAATCACAGATCCAACGAGCACTCGCTTGCTTTCATTCTTCTGCAATATTGCTGGCATTCTCCGCGTCCGCCCATGAGGCCAAAGTGGACGGATGCTTCCAGCACAGGGGTTCCTGGCTTTGGGCTACACACTGTCAGAACATGCAGAGCCTTGCTTGGAAAAACGCGGCTCAGGTGTAGGGACTGGCGTTCTGTCGTGGGGGACGCACACAAAAGGCTGATTACTTTATTCTATGCTCCCTGTGTTCCTTAACCGTGTTTCTATCTGAAAATACACAACGCTTGTGAAGGTCACAGTCTGCTGATTTGTGTCTTACTCAATAAACCTCTTGGAACTAGCGTCATGCCAAAAAAAAAAAAAACCCACCTTGGCTCACTTATGGACTAGCTTTGCAGTGACTTAACCTCTCTGAGCCTCAGTTTCCCCATCTGTAAAATTGGAGTAATACACGTTCACAATTCTTATCTGAAACTCTTGAATCACATGTTTGAGAATTCAGAATTTTTCAAATTAAAAAGAGAATACTGTGCAAATATCATGTATTACCTAATATCCCAGTAGAGTATGGGGCTGAACTCTGGTAATAAAACACATGAATATTTCTGCAGGAAAACGCATGAATATTCACAGCAAGTAAGATAAATAAAGACTATAATTAGTCTCATGTTAGCTAAGGTCAGGTTTTGCTACCAAGTGAGCTTTCTGCAAATCTATGAAAAAACTTTTGTTTTTCAGGGTTTTTTTGTTTTTTTTTGGATTTCAGAACTTCAGATGAGGGGGATGTGAAACCATTATACCCAGGGCCAGTGCTAAGCCATCCAGCTTTTGTGTAAACGAGAACAATGCACTCTCTGGGTGGTTATAGCCCCTGGGCCATAATTTGGACAGCAGGGTAGGAAAAAGGCACCCCTTCCTTCAGGGTAAATGTCAAACGTCAGCCCTATTCTTGGCCTACTTTTGTGCAGTGCACAACCTGTACAACCAGGCACAGTGGCCCTGATGATACATCTCAGGGTTGCTGGAAGAATAAGCAGTAATGAAAGATGACCCCATCCCCCAAAGCCATAGCTGCACCTCAGGCTGTCTCTTGTGCTCTTAGACCAGCACTTCTCAAATGTGAACGTGCACATGAATCACCTGGGGAGCTTCTTAAAATGCAGGAGGGCTGGTGTGAGGCCTGACATACACTAGGTTTCTAGCAATCTCCCAAATAATATCCGTGTTGCAGATCCACGGGCCACACTTTGAGTAGTGAGGTTCTAGAACAACTTGCAGATGTTCCATCTGAACCTTAACGTGGCTTGTCCCATACTCAAGTCACAGTCCTCCCAGAAACCTGTTTCTGCTCCTGATGACCTGACCTTCATTAACAGCTCCAGTGTCCAGCTGCTGTTTTCCAAGGTGAGAACACCTCCTTATTTTCCTCTTCCTCACCTGGAATGTCCCTTGTTTGTACTATGCCACAGATATCCATCACCCCAGACCCAAGATGTCTGATAAACTCTCTGCGGTGAGTGTAGACTAGTGTTCAGCTTCTTCTAAAGCCACCCCAGAGCCCAGGAGCCATGGCCGCTGGCCACCATGTGGGGTCAGCTCTGCAAAGCTCAGACCTGAGCTTGCGAAGAGATTCCCCAGAGTTGGTTCTCCACCAGGCCCCGAGGTTTCCCTCCCTCACACCTCACGCTTCTAGTGCATTCTTGGCCAGTGGTTTCTGTTTTTTTTGGTATATCGTTGACTTTCAGAAAATATTTAAAGTGACATTGGGGGGTGACCTGAAGTTGCCTACATTTGACTTATTTCCTATTATCAATTAACATCTATTATCATGACAGAAAAATTATTCTCATACCAAAAATGTAGGAAAGACATAACTTGAGAGAAGAGGGCTCTTCTCAAGAAAGGACACGTTGACACATGTTGACACCTTACACTAACGCTTCTGCCTCACCCTGTTTTGTTCACTGGATGGGGGGTCAGTAATAACCTCACCTCGACCTGGCCCGGGCATCGTTCTGGGTCACAGGCTCCTTGGGTCCTGTGTCTTCCGCAGTGTCAGCCAGACGGCCCCTGTGGCACGGTCACAAATGCCTCCTGAGTAGCCGGCCACTGACAGGGGGGCATTTCGGTCTCACTCCGAGGGGCGCAAGCCCAGAGCAGAGAGATGCCCTCAGCCAGCTTCGTTTCCTGCTGACATTTACAGTGTCCCAGTGAGGCAGGCACGGGCTATACCAAAGTTACATCTATTCACGGATGGATTGATTTAAAACGACAAAGCTCTATGGTCTGGGCATTTCACAACCATGGCAAGGACAGACAGGGACGATGCCAGGCAGGGGGGAGCCAGGCCGCCGGTGGGGAGAGCCAGCTGGTGAGCGGACAGATCAGAAACCATACCTGCGTGGTTAAACACTTGGTACTTTCTCACTCAATATTCTTCTGTTACAATGTTTAGATACTGCATTTAAAGAAATCAGAATACAATGAAATAGAGAAACAATGTTGGGTATGATTTCTCCTTTGGAAAAATGTAAAGAAATCGTTTTTCCCACCAAAGCTAAGAGATGCCCATGCACGGAGCTGAAAGCAGCTCTGTGTGTGTGTGTGTAGGGGGGGGGTATCGGCCAAGGAATGGGTTTGGAATTGGAAGATTGGGGCTTGAGTGCAGACCTGCCCCTCGCTAACAGCAGGACAACGGGCCGTCATCTGGAGAGGTGTCATTTAGTGTCAAGAGCATGGGGTTCTGAAGGCACGTCAGCCTGGCCACTGGAGCCATCTGACCTCTGGGAGTCTCCATCACCTTATTTTTCACGTTAGTGGTGGCGCTGTATGATCGCAGTGGGCCTTCTGACGCGTTGCTCCACAGAGTTTATAGAAAAACCCAGAATGAAGAAAAGCTTCCATGCACTCCATAAACAGAGTTTGCATCCCCGGTGGCCTTTTCCCAGGGCTGAGTCCACCAACCGCATCTGCGTCCCCATCCTGTGACACACACGAGCGGGGCCCCCCACACGCCAAGGACACAGCCCACCCCACCCCCACGGTCTTTCGTTAATGAGCCATGAACAAACCATACACAGAAAGCAGCTTTTTTTTTTTCTTCAATTTAATTGAAGTTACTTAGAAAAATAATCAGGCTTGAATGGCTTTTCCTGGAGGAAGGTTCATGAACATTTCACGCTTTTGTTGGCAATGTGGAATTCAGCTTTCTTTGACAGTACAGCAAGATACAGGGAGAGTTTTCTACAACAGACCCTCTACTGCATACAAATATGTAAAAAAAGAAAATCACACTCACAGAGATGTTAAATTATATGCCCATATGCCATACTGAGCATGCTTGTAAGAAAATAGTATGGGGAGCGCCTTCTGTACCTAACAAGGGGCAGAAGACTGAAATTCGCCTGTGAACGGACAAGGGTCAACCTAGTTCTGGAAGGTCCTGTGGCCTGTTGGTAGGGTCCCATTGACTGCGACGGGAAAAGGCTGGAGGACATGCTGGTGGTAGGAACGTGGGGACGTGATGTGGTCAGTCCTGCTGACAGAGAGGTGGCAAGGGAGGGGTTTGGTCACCAGGGTCGCACACAGGGGCAGCTTGCATTATGCATGTGCACATGTGTGCGTGTGTATGTGTTCGCGTGCAGGGGCGGGCGGGGCTGAGTGCTTGCTAGGTTAGAACAGCCACTTCTGCAATCACACTCAGCACTGGTCCAGACCCCACCAGCCAAGCGTGCTAGGGACTCGAACACTTTGTTCTGGAGCTTTCTACTAGCATGGGTGAGACCCTTGTGCTTCCACGCCTTTGCCACCAGGAGATCTGGTCTGACTGAGGTGTCCACCGCCCACCGCTCTCCTGAGGCACCTATATCCCAAACGAGCAGGAGGGGGAAGCTCACTGGTGGACAGGGAGGAGGAAAGTTTCCTTGGAGCCACCACAGGTCAGAAGACGGCCCTTCGTCCCAGACCAGCTGGGGAGGGTGGCGAGGGGGGTCTGGAGAAGCTACAGGAATAATCGAGAGTTTTCCAACCAAAGGGACAGGGTAGGCAGGAATGTCCTTGTAAATACTACCTGACTGTACCTGGTCTTTAAAACACAGCATCACCTTTGAAAAGCGGCTTGGAGAGGGGACATCTGCCTGTACTTTTCTCCAGCTAAGCACGCACAGACAACGGTTGCAAACATGTTTCTCTAACAACCGCTAACTTTCATTTTCCAGGCACGCTTCACCAATGGATTTCTTTAACCAAGGACACAGAATACTTTCTACATTCTGCAAAACAGTTGAATCCATTTTTTATAAAAAGTTTTTATGCCATTAAAAAATAAAATGGGAACCCAAAACAAAGCACGAGGAGAAAGAGTCCCTCGTTTCAGAAACCTATTGATGTGTTGTCCCCTGAAGGACAACCTTTCTCACCTAAGAGAGCGCAGCTGGATGAAAGACGGCCGTCTGCGCGTGGCACTGAGCAAGCTTGCACGACTGATCAAAGGCAGGCACGGAAACGTAAAGCGATGTGAGCTTCCATTTAAAAACCAAAAAAGCACACACAGTGAACAATTCCAAGCTGTGGAACTGAAGAAGCACTCTTCAAGAGATCACCACTCCCATGAAGCATCTGTAAGGCTCGAGGCACAGGGAGCCACTCTGGGCCACATACGCCCCTCCTCTGCCCTCCCTGCCTGCTGTCCACACCACCCAAGACTTCCCTCCACGCCCGCTGGGAGGGATGGGATCGTTGTCTGTGGCAGTATCCAGGATTAGAACCATTGCACCTTAGTAAAAGTTTAATGCATTTGGTAAAGTACCTCTGTTGCTATAAACCAGATGGAGACTGTGGCGCTGTTTTGGTTTTTTTTTTTTTGGTTTTCTTATTTTGGAGGGGTGTTGGGGTGGCAGTTTTTATCCTTGAAGACCTCGGATGTGCTAAATCAACCTAACCAAAGTATATTCTGTGGAACACTCTCTCTTTGTGAGAGGATCTGCAGATGAAAGCACTCTGGTCATGTAAGTTCAGGAAATACTACTGACTCAATGATGCCCTGGGGGATTCACAATGCACAGCACACATTCAAGGCTCTGAAAAAGTCCTGCAGAAAGGAAACTAACTTGACTTAACCTGTGTTCTGTAGAACACTGTGTTAGAAAATGTTGGACAATCTGTTTCATTAGCACGAGCCCTTCTGAGGACAGTGTCCCCACCTAGAAATAAGGTCCAGACTCTCAGTTCCAGGGACAGCCAAGGTCTGTCACTCTACTTGGTAAAACACATTGCATAAATCTCTATCCATCAAGGGCATAGTTGCTGTGCCCTTCACAAAGGGGAGAGAGCTCGGAAGAAGGTACACAATGTTTTATAAATATCTTCAGCGACCTTCCCCGGTGCACATCTCACTCACATTAAATAAAATAATTTCCTCCGTGAGATGTTGCAGCTGCTGCTCACCGAGCTTGCTGTGAGCTTTACAATACAACTTTAATAGTTTCTGTGAATAAATTATTCATTTTTTTGTTTGTTTAGAATATTCTCACCCCTTCACTATATACTGCATCGAAAACAAAACAAAAAGCAAAACCCCATCCCACCCTCCCCTATTATTAGAACTATTATTATTATTATTATTATATACAGTATCTGCTACCGACTCATTCACTAGCTGTAAGAGGGATGTGGCTCAAACTTCAACCGAGAAGCATCGGAAATGGCTGGAAATGAGAAGCGTGTGTAGATGTTAATTAGCAAGGAACAGGAAATGAAAAGTTCCCAGCCTTCCAGAGGCGAGGGGGCACGGGCTAAGAGCAGGGAAGGCTGTCCTTGCTGCCCATGCATGGCGGCCATGAAGGTGCCAATGGTCGCTCAGCCCCTGGAGGCTGCAGGAGGGTGTGCATGTGCATGTGTGTTTGTGTACAAATAGCTCACCTCTACCCTTCACCCTTGCAAACCCCTGAATGCATGTACTCACTCTTGGACGTGGCAAGCAGAAGACAGCACTTCTACATGGGGGCGTGCATGTCCGCTGGAGAAAGCAGTGGGAGGCACTTGAGGAGCATTCCCCCCCTCACCCAAGGCAGACATTGCTAATCAATCACAGCACTCTCCTACACTGTGCCTGGAGAATCCGTCCTAGGGCTTAAAGGCAGACACTACCAATACATTGGAAGGGGTACCTGATAGGAAACATTTTTCCCATCTCATGTGTTGGGCAATGAGTTTGAGATCACTCACCAACTTAAGTGGCCTGCTCCAAGCATGCGGTTTCCAAATTTGGGCCATAGAAAAATGCAAATTTGTAGGGGTCATGAACCTTCTGCGGTTGCTCATGAATAGTCCAAACTCCATGTAAAGTCCATGAATATCAGGGGTTTGCTAATTGTTGAGCTGGAAGCTCTGTGTCCATGTAAAGCTTCTTGAGGGCCAAGACTATTGGGTTTGTTCAATACTATATCTGCATGGCCTAGAATATAGTAGGTGCTCAATAAATACTTGTTGAAAATAAAGTAACAGCCACTTCACTTTCACCACAACTGGCACTGCCAGTTCAAAATTTCTGTAAAAAAAGTCTATTCTATCAGACTACTAATTCTGGTGAAAAATTTGCTACAGTCAGCTCTCTCCTTGGGTTAAAAAACAATCACATTTCTTTAGGGCGAGGGACTTTCAGGTTTGGAATTGGTTTGGAATGAGTTCCTTGCAAAGATGCCTCTAAGTGCAACAGCAACCTATTTATTTCTAGCAGAAATTCAAGAATGGTGGCATTCATACCCACAACACTGGTTGTTATCACATGGCTGTGACTCCATAAAAGGTCAGGAAGGAGAACATTCATGCCCCCAAGTGAGCTGTAGCAAGCAAAGCAGGAAACATAGATTTTTTCTGGAAAGACATTAGAATTTTGCTGCCACAAAAAGCAATCTATAGAGACCATGTTTAAATAACTATAAATAATATTAATTAGAATTTATGGAATGCACAATTCATGGAATTCACCAGAACACAAGGAAACCTTTTAGACAGTGTTGCAGTATTCACTTCTAAAAACAAGGACAACCCATCCTATCCCCCCTGCAAAGACAGCTGTCCTTCCCTACGAAGGGTCTTAAATAATTCTCACCATGCTGCTCGCAGCATCACCCCCGAAGAAATATTAATTTACAAAATAACCCAATATCCATATAATTCTTTTGACAAATAAAAATCTTAAATTAAAAAGCATGATTCTCTCCCTCTCCCCCCCCCTTTTATTCCAATTTCAGGTAGCTTGGCACTGAGTAATTGAACATTAAAAAGTCGAGTTTGTAGACTTCGTACAGCTGCGTTTGGTGCTCTGAGCTGATGTTCTGGAAGAATTCTGTGGTCATTTCATCAGTAGTTCTCGTAGACTTTGCATAGGTGGGGAACTTCAGGTAGCTGCCCACTCCTGCCAGCTGCAGGACGTAGTTAGAATCCTCTTCCAGTGTCTCGTACTTGCCCACGAGGTCGTAGCGGATGTGGCAGGGGTGGCAGAGGGAGTAGACGGTCTGCCAGTGCTCGTTGAAGGGCTCCTCCCGCTGGGTGTGGGGGTCGATGAGATAGGCCACGAATTCCTCGAACTTGACGTCGTCCCCCTTGCGCAGGGCCTCCTGGGTGGCGTTCTTGCGCTGGCGTTTGATGATCTTGGTGCCGTAGCGCTTGTGGAAGGAGGTGTTGTACTTCTGCGTGAACTTGTTGCGGTAGGCCGACACCAGCCTCTCGAAGGGCTCCCGGACGAACAGGAATTTCATGTAGCTTTTCAAGCGGTGGTTGATTTCCGGGATGCTGTACTGGTTCAGGGTCTTCAGGTTGGCAGAGACGTGGGCCTCGTTGGCCGGGATCTCCATGGGGTCGCTGTACTTGCCCCGCCCGGTCAGGACCATCATGAGCCGCTTCCAGTTGGTGCACGCCACCTTGGGGACGTAGCAGTAGATGAGCTCGTGATCCTCATCCACCACCAAGTGCTTCAGGTCGCTGGGCGTCAGCACCCGCCGCTTGCGGCTCATGGCGCTGTTGGCGCGGCACGTGTCTGTCACCTGGTCCCGCCGCATCTGGTGGAGGACGGCAGTGTTTGAGAGCTCCAGCTGCAGAGGGGACACAAGAGGGACAAGGACTCAGCACTTGTCTGGGACATTTCCGTCGGCTGCAAGGGGACCCGCAAGCCCCCTGTTGGAGCATGCATTGAGGGCTCGGGATGGAAAACGCACCCTGCTCGGCACGGTGGGGGACGGGACCCAGATCGCTCAGGGTCTGGGAGGCAGCAGGGCAGAGAGCTGGCGGCCTTGACGGAGGCCAACGGGAAACATGCGGGAAGCTGTGTGTGTTTCTATAAATTCTAAGAGCAAAGGCCTCTCTGCAGAGACTACTTGCTCCCAGTCTGAACCAGCCTTCCCAGGCCATCTGGAATAGGAAACCCGAGACCACTCTGCCCTGCTCTGCCACCACCCTGGTGCCCAGACGCTCAGAGACCTTTATGGAGTGGAGGCTTCATGCCATACCTCCCCCTACTCCTCATGAAGGTGCAGTGTGGCCCTTCTCAATATAAAGAGAATTAATTTGAATTGTGGTTAAAGTTATGGAGACGTAGGGGCCACCAGGGGTATGGAAGGGTTGCTCTGGGGCTGCAGATGACACGGTGTCCTGCTTGCCTCCTGGCCCCAAGAGTCCCCGTTCATACGCTGGCCATTTGAGGCTCTCCATAGCCCAGCATCATGAGCACCTTCCCAGCTTCATTCCTGCCCCTCGCCCCTTCATGACCGAAGGGGGCTCCCGAGATACCACTGATTCACTCTTTCCCTTCTGTCACATGCATTCCTTGGGCTGGGCCCATCTGGGGCTCTCCCGTCCTGCTCTGCTGGTACACACTGGGCAGTCCCCATGCACTCCCCTGCCACACGCGTGGAAGAATTACCCTCCCCTGAGCGTCCTCAGCACCCAGCGTCCGTACGGCACAGCTCCCGTCTGCTCGTGCTGGGTTTCCTCAAGTCCCGTGGCCACTGGCTTCACAGGGACTCAGAGCCCCAGAGCAACTGCCCCCTCCAGTCCAGACTGTGGGTGGCCTCGAGTCCTGAGGACGCAGAGTTGTCAGTGACAACCCCCCAACCACCCAGACAGCGAGTCAGCGGAGCCCAGGGTCTGGGTGTCACCCAAGACTCTGGCCCTGCACTTCCAGCTCTGACCCACAATCTGCAAAATGCATCCTAACATGTGCATGGGGCAAAATTCGGAAATATCGATGAGTTTACTGGGACCTGAGGGATCTCCCGGTAGCCAGTGGGGAGAAGCCCTTGCACCCTGCGTTAGGGTATGCATGGGTGATGACAGGATGGTGATGACGGTGACGGTGACAACCGCAGAGAGTGTGGCCAAGGAGCTCTGTATCAGGCACGTTCACAGGTGATTTAAATACATATGTCCAATCTTCCCAGCAACACTCTGAGCTAGATGCAATCGCCTCTAAAAATTTTCACATTCAAGGGAGGAAGCAAAGTAAGACAGAGTGCGAACGCTTTGCCAAGCCTGTGTGGGAACGGTATGGTGATTCTCTTGTGGCTTCGCCCTCACAAATACCTGGTGGAGATCCGGAAGGAGATGTTAGTGCCCTCCCGATGTGCCTCCCCTATGCAATCTGATGCTGACACCCCTCCCGTCAAGAAGTGCAGTCCAGTTCTCCAGCCCCTTGAGTGTGGGCCGGCCGGGACTTGCTCTGATGAGTAGGATGTGGGGGAAGCTATCGGGGTCAGTTCTGGGCCTATTATGAAGCCCCACAGTTCCTACCCTTCTGTCTGGGACAGTCACGCCATGGAAAGCCCTATCCAGCCTCCTGGAAGCTGAGGGGGACTGTGGCACCCCAGCTGGCACTGACTGCCGGCCATCCAGTGACCACAGTCGTGTGAATGGTCGTGGGTGAGACCGGCAGACTTGCTCAACTGCCTACCCACAGACTTGCCCAACTGCCTACCCAAAGAATTGTGGCAAGTGACACAGCAGTGCTGTTTTAAGGTGGTTTGTTACCCAGCAATAAATACTGAAACAGGAGAGCTGGAAAGGGTAGCTGGGACATGATGCTGAGACTGTCGGCCAGAGCCCGAGAGGAGCAAGGGCCCCATAGATATTTTAAGTTTCTACTTGGTAAAACAGGGTTGGCCTGCAGGAGTTTACTGGATTGGGAATAATTCACAAATTACTGGCCCAGTTACTCACAGGCCAAATGCCACCAGTCAGCAAGCTTATCTCTGCGACAAAGGGCAGAGCAATAATCTCGTACGTGCAGAGAGGCCTGGGCTGCTGAATCGAGGGTCCAGTTTCTGAATCATTATGGTCCCAGTGTGGGGCTGGGTCTCCCTCAGCCGTGTTTTCCCTGCCTGTACAATGGAGAGCATCATGCCCATGCCTGCTGGGCTGGTGTGAGGGTTCTAGGGAATGGACCGTGTGGAAAGGCCTGAACACTGCAGGCACACAATCAATATTATTTCCTCCTCTCTTCCCTCTCTGGGCCTCACCCGCCCTGTCTGTGTAAAGAGGCAGTTAGCAGGTTAGCTGATTGTCAGGGTCATAGCCACCTCTATTGTTGGGTAGGGCCTAATTCCTTCCAGGGTGGCCAACTGGTGGCCATGTATTCTATTCCGAGTCCCACAGAGAATCTTCCAGAATGTTCTTCCTCACTGCCTAGGCTCTGGCATTACTTTGTCTTGCTGAGATTTTGCCACAAAGTCTCAGTGCCCAGTAGCTGTGGGCACTCCATCAATCCAAATATCTAGTGATGTTAGTTTTCAGTTCTCCAAGTATAAGTGGCGCCATGAATATGCTACGAAATGTAGAAAACAAGCTGCAGAATTTGCTAACTTTTCCTTATACACAATACATATCAGGATACTATCTAGCCTCCCCTATCTGTCTGAGTGAGCGAGTGCTCATTGAATACCAGGTACTGTTCTAAATGCTTCACATGGCTTCACTTCTTTAATGCAATCAGTAACCCAAGGGGTCGGTTTTATTATAACCCCCACTTTATGGCGAGGGCTCTGTTGGATGCAGCACCGCACGTGTAATATTGAGAACGCTTTGCAGAGCGCGTCCTTGCTGTTTATCTCGGGGAAGTCCTCCCACATTGCTCAGCTATGCTGGCCTCAGCATTTCCAATCTGTTGGTGGGGAGACTGGCTGGGACAGGCTGGATGACTGCCCCAAGGTAAGCCCTGCTGTGAGAAGCAGAACTGCGACTCACACCAGATCTTGTGACCCCAGATCTATGCCTTGCACGCCGTTCTGTCCTAAAGCGTTCTGGTCGGACACAAGTACTACGAAGTGGGGACTTCGCCTTTCTGCCGCGGTATCTGCAGTGCTTGCAAAAGTGCCTGTCACACAGAAGATGCCCAGTAAGTATTTGTTGAGTGAATGAATGAATGACTTAATAATCTCCTTAGGGAAACTTGATATGCAAGTAGGAAGGCCCCTCTGTGGCTAAAGAAATTTCACAATTGTCCACAGATACCAGACAGTTCTTTATAGCACGGCGACTTTGTACAGAAATAGGGTTTTTGCAGATGCAGTTAGTTAACATGAGTGATGCTGCGTTAGTTAGGGTGGGCCCCAGTCCAATGACTGGTGTCCTCATCAAGAAGAGAAAGCAGAGACGTAGGGACATAAGGGTGAATGCCACGTGAGGACAGAGTCTCGAATGAAACGATGTCTATAAGCCAAGGAATGCCAAGAATTGCCAGCCACCGCTGGAAGCTAGGAAGAGGCCAGGAAGGATCAATGCCTAGAGCCTTCAGGAAGAATACGGCTCTCCCCACACCTTGATTTCGCACTTCCAGCTCCTAGAACTATGAGAGAATAAATTTCTGGTGTTTTAAAGCCACCCAGTTTATGGTGATTGATCACAGCAGTCTTAGGAAGCTAAGACAGGAGTCAGGCATTCAATCAATAACTTTGAGCAAGTGGATACTAAAGCATAAATGTGTTAGAGAAGATAACATTATTTAAAAGAATATTCTTACCCAAAAGAATAAAGAAAGCCTATCAGGGTACTAGTAAGCAAGATGAGAGGCTGAGATTCAAAATCAGAAGATTCAAAGCCCAGGGCTTGATCTTGGGCAGCAGCCTCAACCTTCTGAGCCTCAGTTCCCTTATCTGCAAAATGGGATCATCCAACCTACCCCGCAGGTGTGGTGATTACATCAAATAAGGCATGGTTGGTTCAGCATTTAGTAAATAAGATCAAGTTTAACACAGGATTTAGACAAGGTACGGCACAAAGTAGGTGGCTAATAGGTAGATGTTCTTTTATGAAAGAAGGAAAAAAAAAAGCCTGGAGTCACAAAGATTAATTTCATCAGCTCTCTAATTTTGCTGCAGGTCAGTCCTAGGTCACCAAATTCAATTCATATTTATTTTGAATAGAAAAACTCTGACCTTTGCAATTCACGACTTCTTAGCAGATGTATTCATCACCTTAAGAGGAGCCCTCATGGACCTCTTGGGCTATTAAGCAATGCCATTAAAAAAAGAAAAAAAGTGTCCTAAAGGAAATGGAAGAACTTAGAAGGAAACGGTGCCGGCCAATTTTGTCATTTGAATTGCTAAGGACAATTTAAGGCAATACGTTACTAAGATGAGCACAGGAACAGGCTCCTCCTTTCTGCACCGTCTTTTCAGTTGGAGATAATTTCCTGGGCATCTGAATGCACAGGGAGGTAGCATGCCAGTTAATGCTGCATTCAGGACCACAGAGGCAGGAAAAATGGAAATGATACCATGGTGTCATTTTACGTCCTATTGCAGAGGCAGAAAATAACTCAGTGGCGCTTTAAAATGTGGTATTTGAGGTTTCTTACGCTTCCTTTTCTTCTCCACAGCAGTTTAGGATCCAAGTGGCGTACCTGCCCCAGCAAGGCACATGGTTTCCCTTGGGAAGACTTGGAGCACAGGCGGAGGGAACGCTTCTCAAATCTGAGATGTGTCCAGGCCGCTAGTAAATTTACCTGGGCCTCTAGCCTTACATTTGTAAAACATGTATTTTAATTTGTTTTTATCAATTTTCATTTTGAAATAATGTCAGACTAGTGTGGATTTAAATCATT